CACAGAAGTGACAATTTTCTCCTGATCTGGCCACAGACAGCAGCTCTTTATAGCTGTGATCAAACCCAAGTGCATGGCTGCAGACAGCTTAAAAAATGGCTGATTGGGTGAAAATCTGAGTCCTCATTGCATAAGGTATCAGATGAAGAGGTTTAAAAATGTAGCATCTTCTGTAACTTGCATCTGCAGAGCTCCCAGCCTGTCACTGTTTTCAAAATGGGAGGGGGAAAGGGAGCAGAGGGAGTTTAGTCTGGAGTTTTTTTAACCACTCCGCCTCCCTGAGAGTGGGACAGGTGTATTGGAGCCCCCTCCTGAAGTGGGAGAAGGGCTCCAATTCACTCACCCCAGCCTTCAGCACCAGCTGCGGAGCCCCAAAAATGAGCTCCCTCAGCTGCCTTCCCCCTCCCATTCTGAAAACAGGGAGCACTTGGCAGAGAGCCTTGGCCACTGCTAGGGGAACCTGGTAGCTAGATACCTCTCCCCCCTGGAACCAAGAATGAACTTCTGTTTGGTCTGGGGTAACACTAACTCAGAATACTTTGCAGAAATCCTTCTGAGTTACAGTGGGGAGCTGCACATCTCTCTGCATCCTTACTTTTAAGGGTAATATGGTAGTTATTACAAGACTGAGTCACAGAAGAGCAACAAGCAGGGAATCTAGTGTGTTTGAAATAGAATTGTACTAAGGTCTAAGTCTGCTTACACATCTAATAGGTCGAAAAGAATATGACCCTTAGCGTAAACTATTTACAGAACCAGGTAAAAATATATACATTTAGAAGCTTTAGTGAAAAAAAGATAGTTAATATAATGTGTGTAAAATATTAGCTCACTTTTCAAGTTGAGCTCTCTCTACTATTCATGTAACCTACGTGCAAATATGTTTTTAGTCTCTAGAAAAAAAAACAAAAAATGCTATCATTTTGCCTTTGAAGAATTGCTGTGTTTTTTAGTGTTACATACTAGCCATTTGACAGAACTGCAGCATAGACCAGATGACAATTCTTAGGACACAGCAGTTTCTTTAGAACCGAGTACTGGTGCATGAACTCAGATTTCTAGTCATACTCTTTGTGGCTGCTTTTGATCCAAGACTGCTACACAAGTCAAAACAAAACAAAACAAAAAGTCTCGCTTAGAATGCAGCCAGACACGTCTACTCCATAGACTTGTAATTTTTTAAGCAATGCAAGGGGGGATATGGCAGTGCAAGGGGGGACAATTTTTTAAGCCACAAAATTCTACACCTGATAAGCACAAGGGGACAACAGTTGAAGAAATAGGATATTTAGTGTCATAAGGGGGACTGCACACACACACAATCTCTCCCTCCTTGCATGGACACATGCATACCCCTAGCCCCCCACACTCCTGTCCTGGGGTACCAGCGCAGATCCCATGCTCCCACAGTCCAGCCATGCAGCTGGGAGCCACCTGGTCCTGGAGTGGCCAACAGTAATGCGGGAAAATGGCAGCTACAGGTGCAGGGGGAGTGACAGTAAGTGGGTGTGCAGGAGCCCAGTGATAACTGGGTGGGAGCACAGGACCTGTGCCAATGTCCCAGGACCACTGCTGGCAGGGCCCAGAACACGATGGTGGGAGCATGGGCATGGGCTGGCAGGGGCTCTATGGAGCTGGGCTGGATCCCCATTGTCCCTGCTGGTGCAGCCTGGCCTGGCTCCACAGAGCCCTGCCAGTTCAGGCCCCGTGCTCCTGTTGCCCTGCTCTAGGCCCCACTGGTCCTAGCACAGGATATTGGCACAGGCCGTGTGCTCCCACCCAGCTGCTGCTGCTGCACTCCTGTGTCCGCTCACCCGCTTGCTGCCACTTCCCTGCTGCCTACCTCCTCCACTTTCACTGCTTACCTGCCCCTCACCACAGCACTCCAGGCACCACATGGTTCCTGATTTCATGGCTGAACTGCAGGACTCAGGAGCTGGCCTTGTCCAGCTTTGAACACTGGGGCGACTGTCTGCGGTCCTCCCCTGCCTTCCTCCTCCCCCTCCATAGCTGAATTCCTCTGTCTGTTGGAGGGAGGCAGGAACAGCCCCAGGGTCCTGCCGCGGTGCGTGCAGCGGCAGGAGCTCCCCCCACGTCTGGATGAGCCACCTGGGCTCTGACTCTTCCCCGGCCCGGCTTCGCTGGGGCCCCCACTCACCCCATGGCAGGGTGCATGAGGGCATAGGTGGCAAAAAAGGGAAAGCCAACAGGGCTTAGCCTCCCACACATGCAGGGCACCAGTAGGGCCACAAGGCAGCCTGGCTGTGGGCTTCCGGGGGCTGCAGCAGAGGTGGGGTGGGACGCACACGCAGTGGTGAAGGGGGGAGTGGAGCAGGGGCCGATGCTGCACAGCTGGGGTGGGCACGGGATGGAGCCATGAGCAGCTCGTCCAGGGGGTGCAAGGAGTGGGGGGAACGCAGCCCAGGAAGGCACAGGAGGCACGCGCCTCCAGATGTGCACATGGGCAAGATTGGGGCAGCACCAGGCTCTTCCTGGTGCAGCGGCGGTGCTGGGAGTGGGTGGGGTGGGGCTACAGTGAGTTTTCAGGTACCTGCAGCCCTCCCCATAGCCCTGCTCCCAGTGCCACTGCCCAGCTCAAGAGCCACACTGGGAAGAGCCTGGCACCACCCCAGTCCATCCTGCCCCGTGCGCAGATTCAGAGGCACGCACCCCACATGCCCTCCTGGGTTGTAGGCCCCATGCCCCCTGGACAAGCTGCTCGTGGCTCTGTCTTGCACCTGCCCCAGCTGTGCAGGACCTGCCTGTGCTTCACTCCCTCACTCGCCGCTGGTGGGGCAGGGCAGATCGATGCCCCAGTGGTGAGGGAGGGAACGGGGCACGTTCCCCCAGGCCTCCACTTGTTCTACTACCCAGCCTGGCCAGGCCCACTCCCCCCAGCCCCTGTTCCTGCCTGTGCCCCAATCCCTCTCTCACAACTAAGGCCTCAACCTGCCCTGCCCCCACCATGGTCCTTTCCCCACAGACCTACCTGTTGGGGGAACACACCCCCAAATAATTTTTTCTCCCTCTGCCTCAATCTGCTCCCCACCCCCATTCCCCACAGACTGACCAGCGGGGCCGGGGGTAGATCTTGGCTTGATTTTTAATCCAAAAAGTGATCTTCTACCCAAAAAAGTTGGAGACCACTGCTTTAAACACTATAGCTCAGCTTTTCAGCTCAGCCTTTACCACTGTTTAATACCAGTTCAAAGAACATGCATCACACTTGTGATGCTCTGGAAGCACTGAACATTCAAAGATTACTGTAACATTTGTTTAAGTGCTATATGAATAGTTGTGTTCCTGGTCCAGTGACAGTTTCCTATCTAAACTGCACTCCATGTGGGTAATCAGTTCAAATTACTAATACAGTTGTGACAAGTCTGTGGAAGTATCAGCCATGGTGGGGAAATAGCATTTATTTTGTTTAGGTTTCACAGATCCGGACAACAAAGGAGGCAGCTCTTTAAATAATCAGCTCTTTTTATACATGCAGATCAGATACAAAAAAAAAGGGGGGGGGGGGGGGGGGGAAAACACACACAAAAACTTGAGTATTGTACCTGCTACGTCCGAGTCCCAACATATAAGATAGGTAGGTACCTGGGTAAATGTGCTTGTCGGCTATATACAGCTCTATGATACACTCTCTCTTTAATGGGTTTGTCTAACTGAACAGTACCAGGCTTTGTGAAAGCTGGTTGGCTACCAGCTGACTTAGTCACTGTCCCTGAGGGATATTAGAGTAGTCGGTGCAAAACCAAACTCAGACTTGCAGAGGTGATCACAGGGGAATGCAACCTAAAACTCCTGTCTAGAGGGAGAGGAATGTTTATCCCCATACCAAGAAGGGTCATGTCTAGTAGCCATTACATGGGTGCCCTTAAGGAGGCCAGGAACAGCAATGGAGTAATTAACCCCAAAACTGTGATGCCTACCACTATGTTACTATCTTAGGAGACAGCAAGAGAAGGCTGCTATCTCAGTGAGGTGAAAGGCCTGCTGGTGACATGTGTGGATCCTGTCAAACGGTCTCTGGTGACCCTAGGCTGCTGGATTCAGGGGTTTACTGTAGGAATCTGACTTGGATCACCTTCTCTCACCCGGGATTGGTGCTTCTGTTCCATATGGTGCTCCTGGGAGGGGGATGAGATTTTGGGGCCATGTGCCATTAGCAGTCTTCTCCAACTCCTGCTACAGCTGCTCTGATGGCTCCCAGGCATTCCCACCAGAGTGTCTGCTGCTGCTTTGGCAGAAGTATGGCCAGACTTTTAGAATGTTCAGGGATTTTAGCAGGCTGCCAAAAATTTCCTGAGGAACATGGGAGAACGAAAATGGTGATTTTTAATACAATTTAGTACGTCTGATTGGAATTTGTTGGGGGTGGGGAAGCACATCTGTATTCTCAGAGGTTCTCCCCCATATCAAGAGCTAGGAACAAACAATGGAAAGAAGATTTTGGCAACCTCTAAGAAAAGGTTGCCAAAATCTTTTTAAATGGACCTCATTTTGACAATCTAAATATAGATGTAATTATGATCCATTGATATGATATACTTTCAGGTTACCACCGTCTTGTACCTGTTCAAATTATAGGATCAATTCCATAAAATTTCACCTGAAGAACTACGTTGATATGCACCAAGGGTTCTATTTACGGTGGTTTATAGGACTAGGACCAATGTATAGTGAGAATTCCTAAAGTTACAAGTAAAGCAGATTTGTATACTTCCTGTGTATGTAGTGAACATGCTGATAACTTTGATGCCAAAAACAAAGGTGAGATTACATCTTACATCATGGCGGGAGTGAGGAGGGAACCTAAATACAAAAACCTAGTTCAGTTACCAACTGCAACCTATGTTTATGATATTTTATTAGGTGCTTCAAAGCACACTGGATTTTCCTTCAAAGGATACACATATATAGTTAAAAAATAGTAGTTATATTTTATTCTTCAGCTGAAAATAGGTAGTTTTGGACTATCATTAGTTACTCACTCTTGCAACATTACTTGGGGAGGAGACAGTGAAGTCATCAATGGAGGTGACATTTGTTCAGGATAGAAGTCAGTCCTAGGTGATTCGGTTCCTGGTTCTACTTTAATAGTTTTCTTTAATGGAGGTTTTTCATAAGATTCAATTACAGGCACTAGAAAAAAAGAAAAAAAATCAAGTATGTAAAGAGCTATACAAGTTAAACAATATAGGCAACATCTAGATCTGAAAATGTAAAAGTTGACCAGCTCAAGTCTTGCATACAACTCACATTAAAATAAGACTTCTAGTTTTTGGTCTGCCTCCTAATGAATTTGAATTTAATACAAATCTCTTATCTTGACTAGGTCTAATCTGGATTGCCTCTTTTAGGATCAACAGATATATTTGGGTATAAATAAGTGCAGAATCTAACCCATAAAGTCTAACCAGAATTTGCATAGCAAATACTTCATGTTTTAGAATAAGGATTACTGTCCCGATTTTTCATTTCCTAAAATGAAAATCACTTACTCAAAATATACTTGGATATACAATTATTTGACATAAAAGAGAAACAGAACAGCAGTACCACCTACCTGGTACACTACTTGGATTCTCCAATTCATCAGCAAGAAGTGTAGGCATCATTAGAGGTTGCTGGAGATGAGGAGTATACATGAAGGGAACTGGCTGGACCACAAGTGGCTGTATAACTGGGAGTATTCCAGGGCTTCTAAGTCCATGGCGTGAAAGAGCCGCCATAACTGGAGGGATTGTTAATGGTAAGGGAAATGGTTGTACTCCAGGAGGTGGTGGCGTGAATTTTTTCATAGGTGGACTGGGTGAGGACAGAGTTAGTCCAGGTGAGGCTCTTCTGTGTACAGTCTGAAATTTTAGTGGGGAAGGAGAACTTCCAGCTGAAAGTGGTGAGCTTCGTTTGTTCACCGTTAGATCTACTGGCTCCATCTGGATTCCATTAGCTAGTCCTTCTGGGGTTGAATAGAATTTATTGTGCAACATATTTGGTGTAGAATAAATGACGCCGTATTTGTTTGGCTTAATTTGATCCATGTAATTGGATGGGTATGACTGGGTAAACAAGGAGAGAGAAGAGAATTAAAATAGAAACCATAAGTTCTAAAAAATTCTAGTGCTAAAATTACTGATGCCTGGTCAAGCGAGGCAAACTAATAATACAAAAGGCAAAGGCATACTACATTCATGTATTCCTTTTTTTCTTAGAGGGAGAGCAATTCAAGTTTGATTCTCTAATCATTTGGAAATCAGTAATCAGCATGCAACAAGAGAAGGAAGTGCAGTATATAGATCCTCCAGATTTAATTATTAAGATGTTTTATCTAAGAAAAAGTGCTTTACAAACATGTAGTAAACTTCCATCCATCCTGTGTTGTAAACAGGATAAGGAAAGTAGGATGATGCCAGATTGCTACAGAGATGGGTAAACTGCAGTTAAATAAGAACACAATTAAGCTGGAACTAGATTCTAATGGTCCTAAACCCCAGTCAGTTATACCTGTAATTGGAAAACACTTACTCTCCCCATCTTCACTAAAACCAAAGTCTATTCTAAACAAAATACTTTACAACTGAATCCTATAAGCAAGTTCAGAAACAGTCAATGTAAGAAGTTAGAGTTCAACAAATACATTTTAAGTGTTTTTTCTTGGAGAAGATTAGGAGGGAAATGCAGCTAAGTTGCTATTTTGGAAAGCTATGTAATCTTGTAAAAGGGACAAAAGGTTTGATTCTCTGATGTGCTTAATGAGTATTTCCTGACTGTTAATAAGAATTCATGATGCTCATTCTATTTGAAAATTAGACTTTAATAATGCCTTTCACACTGAAGGAAAACATGTTCTTGAATAATAAACAACTTTTGGGGTCCTATTTTAAACCACTCCTGTCATAAAAAAAACATTTAAAAACTAATTAAATGAATACAGAGCACCATAGTACTCTGGAATGCCTTCAGATCCTTTTAAGGTTGTTATGGGTACCATGCAGCATTAGCACCATTAGGTGTGCAAACATCTATACGTTATTCACAAGATAAACTGTGGTATTTCAAATTGGAATATATCATGTCAAAAGCCTGCTGTGGTCTTTCCAAGTTCTTTGCAACAGAAGAATTGTTCTATTATTTTTCCATAATCAAAGAAATGAGTTAAAGCTGAAGGCTGGCATTTTCCTAGGGGTGCCTCAAGTCTAAGATGGATGAAAGCCACTGCTTTAATAGATAATAACTTTTAGAAGCCTATAAAATATTCTAAGACAGGAAATGTACATAGTGTAGTTTATACATTCTACGTTTTAAAAAAAATATTACTTTGCTTTCAGCATCTTTATGAAACATATTTATATATATTCTCCTTGGGTGTATAAGTTCTCACTTTGCAGTCACGCTTTCCCGCTGCCCCAAACCCCCCCGGGCTCTGCCTCTCCCCACTTACCCCAGCTCTTGCTGCAGCTGTCCCGGGAGCGGCTGATGCCAGTTTCCTGTAGCCTGTGGGCCACACTGTGCCCTGGTGCAGGCAGCAGTAGAGCCTCAGGTGGTGCAGGGTGCAGTACTCACCCCAGCCCTGGCTGCAGAGGCCCTGGGAGCTGCTAGCACCAGTTGCCTGCAGCCACTGGGCTGCACCATACCCCAACCCCCGCAGGGCTCTGCCTATCCCCACTCACCCCAGCCCCAGCTTCAGCAGCCTCGGGAGCTGCCAGTGCCAGCTGCCTGGACCAGAGCATGGTGCAGCCCAGCCACTACAGGGAGCTGGCATTGGCTGTTCCTGGGACAGCTGCAGCAGGAGGTGGGGCGAGCGGGGACAGGGAGAACCCTGCGGGGGATGGGGCATGGTGCAGCCTAGTGGCTAAAGG